TATGGCTTAGGCCTTATTATGAGGGGAGGGTTTATTGTTTTGGGGTTGCTGGGCAGCTGCTCTCTTCTGAAGGGGCTCCCAAATAGCCGGGCATAGCCTCATGGCCTCATGGCAGCATTGCAACACAGCAACCATGAAACGACCACGCTCACGAGCAGCCACCCAGCAACCCCCTTTCCATTGCCCGGCTGGAGAGGGGGGTTGTGTGAGCGGCTGTTCAGCTCTCGCTCATGTGTCTCCCAACCTCACAATGCCCTGGCCCAGCTCTCTCTGCAGAGCCAGGGTACCTCCGCTGCTGCCACCGGCAGTGGCAGCGGAGGTGCCCTGGCTCGGCGGAGAGAGCTGGGCCAGGGCATCGTGAGGCTGGGAGGCACGTGAGTGAGAGCAGAACAGCCACTCGCGCAAACCCCCCCTCTCCTGCCATGCAGAGCGCCATTCACTGGCATTTTGAAGGCACCAAGCCACGGGAGCCGGGCAGCAGCGAACAGGTGCTCATGTGGCTTGGCGAAACCCCTAGGTCAGTGAATGGCGCTGTGCCCGGCTGGAAAGGGGTTTTGCCAGGTGGCTGCTTGTGAGAGTGGTCGCTTCATGGCTGCTGTGTTGCGCTGCTCCGACAGCGCAACACAGCCTTTCGCCTATGAGGCTGTGCCAGGCTTCTTCAGGAGCCCGCTCACAAGAGAACAGCCACCCGGCAACCCCCCTCTTCAGCTGGGCACAGAGCCGCTCACCAACCTAATGGTATCCCGAAGGTGCCAAGCAACGCAATCACCTTTGCCTCCCCCCCGGTTCCCACAGCTTGGCACCTTTAGGATACCACTAGATTGGTGAGTGGTGCTCTGCTGGCTGGAGGTGGGGGGTTGTCCAGGGGGCTTATTTTTGGGGGAGGGCTTATATTTTTGCCCACCAGAAAAATGTGGCATGGCCTTATTATCAGGACATGTCGTAATTTCGGGGAAACACAGTAGCCACGAAGGGACAAGTGGAAAAGTGTAACTTTTTCAGAACATCACCAAGATTTAGTTTTAGACTTGGCCAGATTGATCTGTGAGCTGTTAACCTGAAAATGAGATTATTACAGTGAGCTTTTACATGAAGAGGCCTATAAAGTTGGTCCAGATGCCAGAGCTGAGTACCAAAGACTAAAGGACAGGACGTTGCTTGAACATATAAATCTGCTTAAAGGAAGTGGACTAACTGCCGGTCTTGTTACCAAGCCAAATTCAAAGTATTTGCATAAAACCCACACAGCCTTTTCTCATTAACTATGATTTAGTGTCAATGCTCAAACCCAGAGGTAGGTTGCTCCCAATTCGGCCTGGATCAGGCAAAGCTGTAGTAGTAGCATTGGAAGGCTCCGCCCACTCGCCCGGACACTTCTGTGCATGTGCATAAGCATCAATCGCGTGCACGCAAGAGTGCACCCAAACCAGTAGTAAAAAAATTGACAAACCACCACTGCTCAAACCTTTTATATTTTTGAAGTTTTATTTAATTAGTCAGGCTTTTAACTGAAGCTATGATGCTCTATTCTTGGTCTTAATATTGTGAAGATTCTATTTTTTTTATGTCTTGAGTATTTATTGTACTCAATCCATGAGTAACCCAGCACATTATATGAGCCTGATCTTTTCTAGTTTTTCACACAAAGAGATAGTTGCCACTGCTGTAAGAGTCACTTTAATGAGTAGATTCCTTAAAGCAGTGGCATTGCTCTTTCAAACTTGTACAAAAGCCTAAAATATGATCCAGCTCTTTTTATAAATAGAAGTGAGGTGATGTGCAAAAAAGCTGAACTATATGAATGCCATCTTTTTCATTTAATTTCATATAATGGTCATAATAAACATAGGAATGCATTTTTTTTATAACTTTATAGAGATTGCATATTGGAAGGACACACTTAGCACCACCTGATCCAGATAAACAATTCCTGATTTCTCCTCCAACTTCTCCTCCTGTTGGTTGGGAACAAGCAGATGATGCTAGACCTGCTATTAATTATGATCTTTTATATGCAATTTCCAAATTAGGACCAGGTAAGACATTTTAAATCTGAATTCTTAATAACTCATATTCGTGTTATTTTTTCCCTATTTAATTTATTTAAATGTGTTTGTGTATAAAATGTATGCTCATAAAATATGGAACTTTATTCTAGACTTCCATGTGAGTCTGGAAAAAAAGGCTGCTTAAGAAGTTGCTCTATTATCCATTAAAATACATGCTTAAAGAAGTTGTATACAAGTAGTCCTTGACTTACAACTGTAATTGAGCCCACAATAATAGTTGTAAGGTAAATAAATAAATACTCCTTTAAAATTTACCGTATTTTTCGGAGTATAAGACACACCGGAGTATAAGACGCACCAAGGTTTTGAAGAGGCAATTTTTTTTTAAAAAGGAGGTAGGTAGATAGAGGGATAGAGAGGGAGAGAAAGAGAGAGAAATGCAGTAGGTAGGTAGAGAGAGAGTAGGTAGGTAAGTAGGTAGATAAAGGGATAGAGAGAGAGAGAAATACAGTGGGTACGTAGGGAGAGAGAGAGTAGGTAGGTAA